ATAAAAAGAACAGGAAACAGAGAACAGAGAATAAGAATTTCAATCTATCAGAAACTGTGTATTCCACAATACATGATTCCTGATAAATTGAAATTCTTATTCTTTGTTCTCTGTTGCCTGTTCCTTTTATTATGCGGATATTGTTAAAAGATAACATTGTTAAAAGATGATCTATGTCGCTTGTGAAAGGCATATACTTGGACTGTAAATATTCCGATATTCCGATATCCTGCCAGTACCGAAAAATCTATAGCGCATATAACGTATACTGTATAATTTCAGCACTAACAGTGAATATCGAAACTCTGTGCTCAGTTTGCTCTCTAATCTCTGTCGTCTCTGCCTATGTCGCATAAGAGGAAAAGGCTGCCAATTGTGATACGCGAAATATAGGGCAATATATAGTCTGTTTTTATTTCAAAAGTATTTTAAATAAAGTATTGTTTGTTTTGTCTCTTGGGAGCTGCTTGGGTTCGCTCCGAATGAACCCGAAATATAGGTCGATATTCATAGTCGATTCTTATTTCAAGATCGTCTTAAGTATGATCTTAAGATGTCACGAACCAATAAGATGGCCATATTAGCGATTTAAGACATTACTTAAGACAGTCTTAAAATATTATAAGAACCGACTATGAATACTTCTGATTGGTTTGACATCTTAAGATCGGTCTTGAATTTAAGAATCGATTATGAATACCGGTAATAATGTGAATCCTATGGTCGGTATTCATAGTCGATTCTTAAATTTAAGACCTTTTAAATCTTAAATTTAAGTCTTAAGTACAGTCTTAATATGTCACAAACTAATTAGAAGCCGATATTCATTGTCGATTCTTAAAACCGTCTTAAGCAATATTTTAAGTTGTTAATGCGGCCCTCTGGTTGGTTTATGACATCTTAAGATGATCTTGAATATAAGAATTGATTATGAATACCGATATGATGTACGTACAAACGATCTAGAGAGAGAGAGAGAGAGAGAGAGAGAGAGAGAGAGAGAGAGAGAGAGAGAGAGAAGAAAAATAAAGGGCAACTGAGAAAAAAATTCAAATTGCGTTACTAGAGAATTTACTTATTTCGCGCATGCTCACTCCACTTTGATCAACACTAACATCACGAAGTAATAACAAGGAGATCATCTCGAGGTCTGAAAGTGGGCTCGAAACACGATATAGGAAAACCCATGGAAAATTCGGCAAATGTTATTTTAATGTCATCACGCGAGAAAAATTGGAAGTATAAACTGTCACTGATTACAGGTCATACATATGTATGTAGTAATGTGTATGAGGTAGATACGTATGACTCTGCGATCACATGACAATCAATACTCCAACTTTTCCCGCAAGGCGTGATGGCATTAAAATTACATCTGCCGGAAAGTCACTAAAACAAAGTACCGTGAACTGTCGCCATTTTGGTTCCATAATGCGCGGTTATTCAAAATTTTAGCCTCTTTCGCTGTCGTTTTTGCAATTTTCCACACAGCAACCGGCCATTTTCAATAATAACAGGAGTTCGATTCTGTATCTTCAAACAAGATGAAAATTACAAAAGCGAATTTACTAGGTATTGACCAATGAAATAATCAATATTCTCAGTAAATTCGCTCACTTTTATAATTTTCACCTTATTTCAAGATATAGAATCGATCCCCAGAATTAGGATCTTTTTCCAGATTCCTGTATGGATTGCCGATTTTTTAACAGAATCAGGTTAGGTTAGATTAGGATAACAACTCGAAGCCAACTCCAAAAGCTAATTTAGTGAATTTTTTTCTCATCGCGATTGTTCTAGTAACTTTAATTTGTCGAATTTTCTATGGATTTTCCTACACCGTGTTTCGAGCCCACTTTTTTCATGACCGGCCACTTGAATTTGATCTCCTTTTTATTACTCTGTGACTAATATCAAAGGTGCCGACAAAGAGTTGCGCTGTATATGCTGGGCTTTAGGATCTCCTTAAGGGAATGCTGAAATGGCCAAATTGTCGATACTTCGCAGATCGATATAAATCTCCGAATTTACGGAACGAAATAAAAAATTCTTGGTAATTATATAGTTCAGCATCAACTACCTCAAAAATTAATAAAATTAAGCTTTTTCAGCACGTTTTTGCATGAAATGAAAGAATTTGGCAGAAAAAAGTGTTGCTCTGCCCCGCGAACAGAGATATTAAGCGTTATGCTGATTCTATAATGAGTCTGTAGTTGGAAGTCATAGGAAGCGTTTTATATTGGCCGTAACCGTATGCCGTATGCCATAATCTATAAGACTTGATTAAACACAGTCAAGTATTCCCCTCTCATTCGACAGCAGAAAAAAGTCCGGGACTGCTTTACGAAGCGAGATATTAAGCGTTAAAATTAAAGCGTTAAAGTCTCAATCGATGAAATTGGCCAATTAACGTCGGTTGTATAAGTTGGTTAACTTCACTGACTCAGGACTACCAACTACCGACTCATTGTAGAATCAGCATTAAAGTTGATAGCTATTGAGGTTAGAAAATCTGTCATAGAGACAAAATGACGGTAATTCGTCAAAAGAATTACCTTAGATTTCGATGAAATTAGTCAAAAAGTCTAGGCAGAAAAAAGTCCGGGATTGTTCTACGAAGCGAGATATTGAGCGTTGAAGTTGACTAAACTGTTACTACACGATCATTAATCTGTTATGTAGACAGTGGAGTGTATAGATTAGTGCTTATTGGGGCTATGTCGCTCAAAAAAAAGGAAAAACATCTTGTCTGCTTGAGAACCGCCTAAAAGTTGCAGCCTAGATGTTGCAGACATATTTTCGCTTGAAATATTTTTAACCCATACAGACAGTGAAATGTAAGAACAGTGAGGTTTATAAAGCTTTTTAATAAAACTGTCTAAGCTGCAACTTTTAAGTTAAGTCCCAAACGGGTTAGGATGTGTTATTTTTATTTCTGTTCGGGGCGGCGTAGCCGCCTGTGATACTGTATCAGGCTGCTCCTGATAAAGTAGACTGCAAGGTTCACGAAACGTTGGCATTCCAAGAATGGGTCTGGACACGGAGAAAGCCCGCGAAACGCATATATAATCTTTATATAGAAAGCACCCATGAAAGCCTTAAGAATATCCGTTGAACAAGTTTATTTTTATCTCCCCTTTCCCAAGTGAAAGTAAGAGTCTTAGCCCCCGAAAATTTTTGTAAAAGTTGCCATCATAAGTAATAAGAAAAAAAATTTTCACTAAAACGTCAATAGTCATGGAGATATTGGATTGCGGCAACAAAAAATGACTTATACAGCAAAAAAATTACATGCTATTCATGTCCATTGCCCGTACTTTCCCCCTCCTCTCTCCTCCGTAGCGAAAAAATGGCTCTCAATTTTCCTCTCAATTTCCTATCCATCATTTTTTCGCGGTATTTATTCTTGCCGAAATTTCGCCCTTCCCCAATCACCACATAGATAATTATGAACCGAACCAATCAGTGTGTGGGCAGCTATGGACGAAGCCAATCAAAACGCGTCATTTAATTACCTCATCCTCCCATCACCGATTAATCAGAGCGCGCCATTTTTTCAAACGGGGATCGTCTAGGTCTCGCCCCTGGCGCCGGAGGTAGAGTGAAGGAGGTTTGTTTTAACGGCCTATAGCTACCCACTTATTACTCACAAGATATTAAGCACCGTCAAATCGCGACCTCTGGGCTAATGGTTTAATGGAGCAAGTTAATGGGTTTATAAAATCTTTGTTTAAGAATGTCATTGAGGATATATCAGATATATCAGATTGGTCAACTCAACTACCTGTAATAAATAATAATTCAACATGTGATAAATAATACTTACCATTCCTTAACTAAGAGTACTTCCTTCAAGCTATTATTAAACTATTATTAAGTTATGACCAACCTAACCATATTGATAAACTTGTTGATTCTTAATTAGTTAGCTAAGATTGACTTACATTATGATAAGGAATATAGTCGTCAACTAGCGTTAGAGATTACCGATAGATTAAAGGAATATAACAAATTATATTACAAACATAAGACTCTCATCCGTTATTATCCGAAAGACTATGTTCTTGTTTGCGATACAATCGCTAAACTTGACGAAAATCGTAAGTTTAAGTCGGAATACAAGGGCCTTTACCTAATTAAAAAAGCATTAAATAAGAATCGATATGTGATATAGATCATGGATATTCCCGGCTTAACATCTCATCACGTCCAATTCAATTCTATCCCCCGAATTAAATCGTGGGTCAAGTCGATAATAGTTATCTTACTTTATAAATTAACTTAAATTTACAACTGTATCTTCATTTCCGTTCAATTTATCTATGTTGATGTAAGCACATTAAAGAATAAAATAATTTTATATAATATTATGTATTCTAACTATAGTTCCTGTAGTAATAAACTGAAAATTGTACGATGATTTGTACTATATAATTTTAGATCTGTTCACATTGCATAAAATCCCCAAATATTTTTGCAATAAAATGAGATAGATATATATTTGGTTTTGAAAATAGAGAAAGCGAAGATGTCGAGTGTAAAAAGTGCGAGCAATATAGTATAGATATATAGACCTATTATTTTGTTTTGTTAAAAAGGAATCACTTGTTTATTTAGCATTTGAGACGAATACTAAACGTAGAATGGCCAAGCTGTAAGAATCAATCTGCCTAGTCTATGTTTTTTCATTTAAGTTTCCTTTCTAAGCTCGTTCAACTTTCCTTCCGGAGTTGTGCATCTCTTCTCCATGTTTATTCGCCCCGACACCACCGGTTCTAATTGGCCATTCAAGCGTGGGCGCACCGAGAATGGCTTCACCTTTATCGCCATATGGTTCCTGCACACAGAACGCGGTAACGACGCATGGCGGAAATTGACGCAACAACCAATCAACATTTCTTACTCAGAAGTAATAAATATATAATTTCCGATATATAAATCCAATCTGTTGTGTCTTTGATCTATGGGAGAATGGATAGGATCCTTTCGTCTGATTGTGTATCAGAAACCGTAGTCTTGTTGCATATTTATTGATTATTTTGGATATGTCTTTTTTGTCATATCCGTTTTTTATAAGGTTAGTTTTAGGTGGTTGAGTTCTGTCTATAGATGTTCTTTGTTAGAGATGGTGAAAGCTCTATATACAAGTGAGTTGATTGCAGACTGTTTTTGTGCTTAGTGGTAATGCGACTCGGCATATAGCTATCTGTATGTGTTGGTTTTTTGTACACTTGATGGCTTAAGGCAGAGCCTTCCAAATGGTCACGTGATCGTATCTCCACAAAAATTTCAACAGTCTCAATTTTACCCTCTCCAATGCTGCCTTCCAGTCTTTCCGCCACACGTGTTTATAGCTGTCGCAAGCAAGTATGCAAATATGCAAATATAATTCTTAGGATTAATAAAGATTCCAAACGAAAATAAAATAAGTTATAAATATGGCTTCTTTGCTTTTATTTCTTTTTCGATATACGTATTTATCTTTCATGAAATCGCGCCTGACTGCTACACGAAATGATTACCCGCGTCACCGTGCTGGTGCACAGCCACGAATAGGAGAAACGTTGCATGGTGGGAGACAAGCACGAGCGAGCGAGAGGCAAGGGAATTAAGGGCCCACGGCGCCCGATTAGGAAGGCTCTGGCCTAAGGTATCATCACAGTATAAAGTATAGACACTGAGCGTTGACATCTTTGATGGATCTCAGGTTACATAACTCGCCGCCATATTGTGAGTTGGAAAGGCGCTTATAAATTTGAGTTTTTATAAAGCTACAGAATGATTTAAAAAAAAAAAAGACAATTCGGTCGTATCATGAAAATTATTTATAGCGAGTATATTTTTAAATCAGAATTATATAATGTCAATGAACCCATATAAAAATACCATGACCATTATATAAAAATAATATTTATATTAATAATAATAATAA